TTCATTTTGCCATTAATTGTAATAATCCAGTGAGATTTTTGTTTGCACAAGGAGTCTGACAACAGCCAGTGCTCCAGAGATCTGGGCCCGTATTCACAAAACATCTTAAGGCTAAAAGTAGCTCGTAACTCGCCGATTTAGGATAAAATCTTAAAAATAATGGTCGTGTCAGTCCTACATTTTTAATCTCAAAGTATTTCACAAAGCATTTTAGCGCTAAAACTAGCTCCTAGATCTGTGAAACATTAGGAGTAGTGAAGAGTGGACTCCTTCTTCTTCTTCTTCTTCTTCTTCTTCTTCTAATAACGTTTTATGGCGGATGGCAAACCAACTTCTGGTGCATTTACCGCCACCAACTGGACTGGAGTGTGGAGCACTAATAAAAAACAGGCTAGACTAATCGATTCTTGGGATTTAAGAATCGATATCGTTCCGTAAAAATGAGAATCGATTAATATCGAAATATCGATATTTTTTACCCAGCCCTAGTGGAAACCCAGCTAAAGTATTTTTTTTTTAAACAGTGGATGAGTAATTCACTCCTTGATTTGCTTAATAAAAGCCTCCTTTGAGATCATTTTGACAGACATGTTTACTGTGCATTTTAAACGTGTTTATTGCTAAGTTTAGTGTGGCAAAATAGAAGCGCAGCTGTAATTCGTGGGCAATGTATGTGGTTACCATGACAACCTCACGCACTTGCCACTGCTCTATTTGAATGTGAATATGTAGATTTACTATAGCAAAACTAAAATGTGTTTAAAAGTACGTTTGGCCAAATCCACCGGTTCGGTTTGGCCCCCCCCAAACTCAAATGTCACTAAGTCACTAAAGCCTGTTTCCGCGTGCGCGTGTCCGCTATGGTATGCGTGACGTCAAAATCGTCATCGGAGAGTGTGCGCGGAGGTTCCGCGCGGACATCCGCGTGCCTCCCATTGGTCAGTAGACGACAAAAGCACCAACTGCGTATGCGCAGTCTGTGTGAATAAGCCCCGTTGCTACTCGAACCTGTACAATCCGTCGATAAATCAAGATAAAGACAGCCAGATGTGCAATAACTGTGGGCACATGTTTGTTTACTGTTCAAGCCGATCTACTGCACATGTATGGAGCACGTCCGCGAAGCGGACCATCAGCGTATGTTTTCGGTAACGTTAGTATAAATACAAGTAGTCCGCGTCCGCGCTGTCCGTGTACGCGTCCGGATTGCTCATGCGGAAAGTATAACACAGGCTTAAAGGGGTCATATGATGCT